ACTAATTGTTTGTACATAAGTTTCAACTTTAAAATCAAAATTCTTAATAAGTATTGGGTGGAATTATAAAATTTAAAGTCTGTTCTACCTAAAGAGAATTGTAAGAGCTTTTAAAAGAAATATTACTCAACCCCCAATGCCATTTAAATATTTTGGGGTGATGCTTACCCTTGCTTGGGGGTGAAAGTGGCTGAGTCAAAAATACTAGCAAAAAATGTCCCCCTTTAATCTAAAATCGACGGGTCTGAGCGTTTTTTTCTGAAAATGGCTCTGTTTCGTTTTCATTTGGCCACCCTGTATATGCTCTAAGGCAAGGTCACAGTGCATTAAAGCTACAAAGAGATCCAGATTGATTGAAGTGTTTGGAGATCGCTACCTGTGCCTGTCTCTATCAATACTACAGATTTTTATATGCTAAAGATGGTGTTAGAAACAGGCTGCGTTTCCCAAACGCTTCAATCATTCTGGATCTATAGTATATTTAGCCTGAAGCATGAAACTAAAAAATAGACGTCATATTCTAAATAATTTTCTCGACACATGATTGTGCAAACTTACATTCTGTTGGTGCGAACGCATTCCATGTATACGGTGGTTCTCAAAATGTACTTATATCTCCGTAAATATTTGTAATTTAGAAAAATGTTTTGCGCGTCTTACGAGCCGTCACTGATGTCGATATGGTCGATTTATTTCTGATAATAGAGAAATTATACACCTTTCAATATGCCTCTCTCAATATCCAGGACCGTAGTCATGGAGGTCATCAACTGCTGAGCTTACCCTGAATAATCTAGTACATTTTCAGTTAATATTCTTTTCTACGGTGGGAGTGAATAAACTTTATTGATTAAATAACAAGTATTTAAAAATTTTGTTTTTACTCGTACAGGAAATATCTAATGATTTACGTTTATATGTTTCCATGAGAGTAATAATTAATTGTAATTCAGTCCACAGTGCATTTATGTGCTTGTGTAAATAACCAATTTCATATACGTCACCTCCGGCTGCAAATTAAAACTGTTGTTTTTCAATATTTCTATTTCGTTAATTTTTTTAGTTTAAAGGTCCATTTGTTGTATATACTTTCCCGTCCCGCTCAAAACAATCTATAAATATTTATATCCACTTACGTAAAACAACACGACTGCATAGATATATGAAAATAGTAATTGAGTATGGAAATAACGCAGTTATTAATACATTATACATTGAATACATAATGCAACAAACGCGTGTGATTACAGTAAATTGTAAAAATGTTACGTAAAAGTCGTAATAAAAATATGTAAATCGACATCCTGCAGTGTAAACAACCTTGACCGTTAAGTATTTACTTTAATAAATTAGAAAAAAGTAAAAGGTAAATACGGAGTAAGTGTAAAAAACAAGCAATTAAAGTGATTTGTATTTTTATTAGAAATTATGTAATGACTGAAGCATTTTGCATCAGTATTAACTAGGTGGGTAACAAATGAGAAATTATGACCAAAATAGGGAAAAGGCAAAGTCAGGATGACAACAAATAGGTATTAAGTCATTGTTATAAATAGAATCATTTTTTAAACTTTCGTGTATTATAGCAAGTTTTCTTAATATGATATATACGTACAGAGAGATCCAGAATGATTGAAGTGTTTGGAGATCGCAGCCTGTGCCTGCAGGGTTGCCACTAGGTCGACACGAAATTACTGACGAAACTTGATTGCATTCCTGACATTTCCTGGCAAAACTTAATTATATTATTACTTGCAATTCCTGGCAATTTAATAGTTTAATCTATTATTTTGGTGATTATTACCTTTGTCTTAACCGTCGTATCCCGTCAGTGTATAAATAGCTATCACTATTACTCTGTAACCTGTAATATTAAACATTAAACAAGGATCGCTACCGAGTGCCAAGTGTGACAAAATATAATAGTAAAGAAGCATGATACATCGTCATCTAGCGGTGATATCGTGAATCGAAATTCTTAAAACTGATTAAAGTAATCTCTGTGCTCTGTGATGCTTATTTATGATCTTTTAATAACAAATGCAATAATGCAAATGTTGGGGGTTATTTGCAAATCGACATCCCTGAAAATGTTGCTCCCCTGGCAAATTTCTGACGTTAAGTCAATCCTGGCAAATTTACTGGCAGGACTCTTTATTCCTGGCAAATGCCAGTAATTACTGGCAAAACGGCAACCCTGCTTATAGAAGGGATGAGCTCGTGCAGCGAACCCTAATGCTGCGGCTGGAATAACCACATACTTCTATCCTATACTGATCATTTTGCAATTGACTTGAAGCCGAAAAGTGGGGCGACGTACCAGCGTATTCATACGCATGCGTTTACTTTACGGGTTTTGATTGGTTGAAAGGAACCAAGAACGGTGAGCGCCGAGCGGTAAAAAAGTCAAACGTCAAACCAAGCTAACCTAAAAAATATTAATATTCTCAGTTTTGTTTTGTGTTGTGCTAGTCTAGTGTTTTGGTGAAACTGTTAGGGTATAGTGTATATTTTAATAAATAAATAAATAAATGTATCTTTTCAGTTNACTCAACATAAGTCTCATCGTCCATTCTCAAATAATTTCGCTAGTCATTCGGTTCATTTCTCAATTCTTTCATTAACTTCACATGAGAGAATTCTCTTCTCTTTAGTAACCACTCGCGGCTCCACTTTGTTATCTGTTTTCGCGCCTTTTTTCACTTTTCTCGCTAAACAACCGATGTACAACGACAACAACACTACTTCCTCCATGGCAAAAGTTTTTTTGAGGTCGATAGCTGTTGACAACGAAATATGGAAGGAAATCGTTCCGATTTATCGTTAACGTGGAAACAGTACTCCACTCTTTCGATTTATTGCAGCAATAAATTTGTCACTCACATCGTTACGATTTCTCGTAGCGTGTAAACCGGCCTTAAAGATGGTGCTGGAAATAGGCTGCGTTCCCCAAACACTTCAATCATTCTGGATCTCTCGGTATATACTGCATGGTAGGTGCTCATGCTCTTCTAACAAAACAAGGCGAAAGAATGTGAAGAATAATAGGTTTGTTCCTACAGCAATCCAAAACAGTTTCCAGCAGATGCATTACATACGGTTCAAAATTAATTGTTTCGGATCAGATGTAATTGCGTCTGGCTGTTGAAAACTGTTTACAATGCACTAGGAACAAAGCTAATAGTGAACACTAGTTTTCTTGAAGAGCGCGTACTATTCAGAACTTGTTTAAAAGCTGTTTTACATTGATAATTATTTATTAATGAATTAATTCATGAAGTCGATTCATCAAGGAACTGGACAAGTGTTATGCACCAAATCTGCTGTCAAATAACTTCATGAATTTAATTTTATTCATCAAGTTCTTAACATGTTCTAATTTTCGTCAATTTCTTCGTGAAGTTCAGAACTTCAGAAGTGCCAACCCAACAAATTTCCAGCCTCAGATCAGTAATGAGGTTATGTTATTGGAATATGTAAATAATTTTGTGGCATACTAGTTTTGTATTGTTTTTACTGATTTGTTACTTACAAAAACATATATTTATACAATATGTTTCAAAACGGTACCGCTGTTGTACCACTACAATTATTATGAGTGGAAAGGTGACATTTTTGAAATTTGTTTGTTTTGATTTGTTGGTAAAGCTGACTCACGTGTCAATTAAATTCATGAAGTCTGTAGCAGTGTAAAACCAAACCGTTTATAAATCAATTCGTGAATTAATTCATGAAGAACTTTGTGAATTTATTTACGAATAAATGGCCCATGTAAAACAGCTATATAAAGGAAATTTGATAAAATATTCAAAATTCACTAGGTACTGTAAAATTATAACTACTAATGCAGAAATCCCTATTGAAATTATTTTAATAAAATTATGCAATGTACTAAAATGGCAAATTTTCTGAATATAAAGAGTATGGGCGCTGTAAGAAAATGTGTAAAAGTATTCTTCGATTACAAGCAAATTTGGCCAAAATTCTGTAAACTCTGTTTAGAATTATTTAATTACAGGCAATAGGTATTGTAAAATTATGAAAAAATATAGAAAAATTTATAATAAAATAATAGTTATTTTACTATAGTTTTTTTTTTAATACCAAGTGCTGTACAATGCTCACACTTTAAAAAAACGAGGCTAAAAAACTTGGAAGGCGACGAATCAGCGTTATTGAACGGGCGATATCATGTAAACTTTGGGCCATAACGTGACGATTGATAGGTCACGAACTCCTCATTATACACTCAAAACTAACTACCAGTAGAGCACGCCTAACAAATTTTTTAGTCTATATAGATAACATAGATCTACTAGCTTTGTGATATTAACCTCAAATTATAGTATCAAAACTGTCAGAATCATAATGTCAAATCGTTTTTTGTGTATTTTGTTTGTCTCGATTGCGCATGCATACGAGTTGACGTCACAGCGAGAGAATAATTTTAGATAGGACAGAAACTGTTTAAATTTTATTTTGGTATTGTTCCTTTGTGATCCATTTTTTCTGAAAAGTAAGTTAATGAAAGTAAATATATAAGCTTTTACTACTGAAAAATAATGGCAAATTTAATTTTTGGAATCTAAGGTAACCCTATTACGAGTGTTTTATTGTAAAGTGTATTGTAAAAATTACGAGTGCCAATACAGAAATTTTCCGAGTTTGTAACGGATTTAAAATATTTTGTGATTGTAAAACTAGTAATGAAAGTCGAGAAGCATATTATTGCGATCTTATTTTAACACTTACTTTATCAAGATTTGTCATTGTTCCAAGATTAATTTGTTATCAAGGTTACCCGATTTCACACCTCACAATCCCGTTTTGAAAGCCATTAATAGCATAAGAAAAAAATTTATATTTTAAACGAACCTTTCAGCAGTTCAGAAATTTTTCTTACATTTCGTGCTTACTAAAACGGTTGACATAAATTTTCCTCACACTTACACATTTATATTCCTATCGCTCATATTTAGTTAAGAATAATTACAGTTAAATTTTAGGTTATTTAAAATTTATTTAAGAACATTTAAATATATACAAACATATTTCACCACATTAACAACTTAAATCTCTTAAACATAATCAATTACGTTAAACTACTTCGATTTAGTTTTCGGCTTCTTTCCCATATTCCTACTTGCGGTTTTCGCTCCTTTCGTTTTCTTACCTCTTCCCACAGTCTTCGCCTTATTCTTCTGCGCCCTTAGGTCTTTCTTCATCCTCGCATCGACTACTTTGTAATGACCTTTGACGCCACGTGGCCTCGCAACCTTTTTGGCCGCCATGTGCTTCTTCGCCACCACATAAGTGATCTCTTTTTTGGGCTCCTGCCTCGCCTTCTTGTATAACCTAAAAAATTGGAAGAAAGATTTGGAAATTGGAGACTTTAGACATTCTAAACACGCTTATCGAACAATCGAAGCTTTCCCTCTCTCGTAAATTTTTGCATCCATAACGGTTTTCAAGTAATTAATTACCATCACTACATTTTTCATAGAAATCTGATTTAATTGCCATAAAAATTCTGCTGTACATGTGATAATCGTTGCCTTGCTAATATACAAGGTGTAACATTAAGTGCAACATGATTTTTATTAAATCTATTCAAACTTTTAATAAAAAGTATTTGAAATAATTTGTTCAAAGCACTGTGTTTAGTTTGTGAATCGCAGTGTCAATGTAACCGCCTCATTTTTATTATATTTATTTTAGTTTTCAGTTTATTGGTTTAAAAAAGGTTTTTGTAATACGGTAGTAGTAAGTTTTTGACTTTCCGCCTGAAGTATTAGTTTTTATTGCAATTGAAATAGAATTTGTGTAGTTCTAAGTTTAATTTTATAATAAAATTTATAAGTTAGGGTACGGTGTGTTTGTGTGTGTCTTCATTATTAAATTTCTGTATGAGATTGCTGTTGTTCGAGTTTATACTAACCCTTCCAACGGTCTCCTATGAAAATTATCAAAAAAGGTAAATAAAAATCAATTTTCAGATGGAATTTGAGAAAACAAACTTACATGTGTTTCTAAAGGTCAAAGGTAGCCTAGACCACCATTCAAACTTACACCCTGTATATTTTTTAGCGATTTGTGTGAAAAACTTACGATTTGATTTGCTTCGCCTTCTCCCTGTCCGAAACATCGACGTTATCCATCAGCGCCTCGACTTTCTTCTTCGCCTTTTCCAATTTCTTCAACGCCCTCTTCTTCTTCCTCGCTTTGGCTTCAATCACTTTCTTTATTGGCCTAACGTTAATATCCTCGAGTTTTTTATTGTAATCGTCGACTAATTCCTAGAAATAAGACGAGGCGTAATAATTTAATTCATTAGGAATGTTCTTTGTTCTTACCTTTGGAACAGGCACTTCCCTCCTCATGTGCTTCTCTTCTTCTTTTATGAACCAGTCGGGCAGATTGTCGTCATTAAAAGTATACCTGTTCCAAGCTGAGTCTATTAGGTCTCTTTTAGCTTTCTTACTGTTGATCATTATTGTACCCATGGCTAGTTCTTCTGAGGATAACTTGTATTTTCCTTTTTTCACTAAAAAAAAAACAATAATACGTTTATTTTTACTTGGTTGTCCTTGAATTGTTAAATTAGAACTGATTGCCATCAAAGAGTGACCGCAAAAAATCCATTTTTCAGCCTGTTTTTGAGACTGACAGAGACGACAGGGAAAATCCTAAAAATATTCTAAAAATATCCAAATACTCCTCATGAAAACTTAAAATGAGCATCACTCAGTTTTTCGAAAACCACCCTTATTTAGGGGTTGAAAACACAAAAAAAGTGAACAAATTAAGAATCATCAACAGTGGTCAAATCCCAAATATTTCTGTTGTTAGGGTGGTTTTCGAAAATTTTCGAAAACCGCTCTTATTTAGGGGTTGAAAACACAAAAAAAGTGAACAAATTAAGAATCATCAACAGTTGTCAAATCCCAAATATTTCTATGTTGTTATCAAAATAATATGAATGTGAAAATATCTAATTTTGTATTTGATACGGTTTTGTCCGGATTGAAAATCAATCCATAATATCCCTAAAGGGGTGAAATCATCCCCTAAACGCCTAAAAATGCAAAAAATATATTAAGTTACAATTTTTTTCTTTTTTGTTTTATACGTGATAATTGAACCGTTAATAACCTAGAATCGCTAAGTCCGAAGGAAAATACCCCTAAATGAGGGTAAAACCACTCCTAAGTTCAACCATCGGAAGAGAAAGAAAAAAATGTCTCAATATATTTTTTGCATTTTTAGGCATTTAGGGATGATTGCACCCCTTTAGGGATATTAAGGGTTGATTTTCAATCCGGACAAGACCGTATCAGATACAAAATTAGATATTTTCACATTCATAATATTATTTTGATAACAACATAGAAATATTTGGGGTTTTACAACTGTTGATGATTCTTAATATGTCACTTTTTTTGTGAAAGGTGTGAAAGGTGATTTTCAAAAACAAAGTGATGCTCATTTTCAATTTTCATGACGAATTTTTGGATATTTTTATAATATTTTTAGGATATTTCCTGATGCCTCTATCAAAGTTTTCAAAAACACATAATTTTATTAAACAATTATTCAGAAACTCAAAATTGAAAATTATTTTTTAAGAACCATTTTTGAAAAATTATATTATCATTATTTTAATGGTTAAAATGATTATTTTTTTAAACTGGTAAGAAGCATTTAATGAAACACAATAACATGGAGTTAATAGATTTTGCATATAAAATTACTAAACAATTTTTAAAAATATCCAACAAAGAAAAAAATCATTGCAGGCTAAGTATTTGCAATTTTGAAGAAGTTATAGCTTCCAAATACGCCCTTTAGTCCAACCAAATTACATTTGGAGAACAAAAATGATAAAGGGGCTTGTAATAAACTTAAAAAAATAAATGCGTGAGCAGGGGTAGCGGAGGGTTGATTTGGGGGGTTGAAAAGTTGTGAAAAATTGTATCATTGGGATTTTTGGCGAAAGTTGACGTCAAACAAAAAAGTATTCAATACAAAAGTTGTAGACCGTGCAAAAATTTACAACTTTTGTAGAGGTCACTTATAAGATAACCTCAAAATTTCAGAGGAAAATGCGAAAAAACAGTTTTTTCTTACTTTTCGATTTTTATTTCTCATTTCCACAAAAATAATTTAATTTAGACGAATCTTGGTGAAAGTATACCTTTCTGTCTTAAATAACCACAATTTTTTTTAGATAAAAAAATCAAGAAGTTTCCGAGATATTCAATTTTTCCGGCCTGAAACACTTTTTTTCAAAGAAAAATTCTACTTAGAAAAATCATCGTACAGAGTTTTCCCGCTGATAATTTTTTTCGTTTTGACATATACTTTTTGGTGGAATAAAAAAATCTAATCACATTTCAAAAACATGCTCAAAAATGCAAATAAAAAATGACTTGCAACAATGAATTTTTCAGTAATTGTTGAAAATTTGTTTAAATTAAAAAAATTCTAAAACTGATTACACCATTCAATTGTACGGAAAAAAATACAAAAAAACTGTCTCATTGTTTGACCCCTACTTAAATTAGAAAAATTACCACCAACTGTCGGAGTAGCTACACATTCCTATAGAGCATACTTTCAGCTTCAGACGTGGCTTGGAAACAAAATAACTGCAACCAAGTGGGGCTGGAAAGAAGTAATTGCGAATAATTCCAAATTACTCATACCTACCTCACTTTACAGAAATTTCAGTCGTGCCTGAAGATTTATTAAAAACAATCTCTCGCAGCTGCAAAACCAGTTGTGACAGTAATAGATGCGGGTGTCGAGAACATGGACTGCGATGTACAGATTTATGTACAAAATGTCATTGTTCGGACAATTGTTTGAACGTTGACAAAATTTCGGAAAATTTCAGTGATTCTGAAGACATTTCACATGAAATCGAGCAGCCAAGTCTTTACTTGAGTCCGAAAAATCAATTAACCGAAGAATTAAGTGATATCGACGAAACGTTTGAAGATCAGGAAAAACCCAGTCTAATGAAGGATCGGACGGTGAAGATCAAGTTAAAAAGTTGCCAATAAGACCAAGATTCGCTTAGTATATTCTTAGGTATAAAAAAACACAACTTTTTTCTAATTTGAGCCACTCCATATCTCTTACCGTTTCCTAGATTCTAATGCTATCCCATATTTATCTTGTACACACTGTATATGTATATGAATTCATCAAAATTTTTAAAAAATAAGTACACGAAAAAAAAATTATTTATTTTATTTATTTACTACAAAAATAAAGTTTTGGGTCAAACGATGAGACACTGTTTTTTTTTGTATTTTTTCCGTACAATTAAATCGTGTAATCAGTTTTTGATTTTTTTTTAAATTTAAACAAATTATCAACAATTACTGAAAAATTCATTGTTGTGTCATTTTTAATTTTTTTGCATTTTTGAGCATGTTTTTGAACTGTGATTACAGATTTTTTTTTTTCACCAAAAAGTACTTATATGTCAAAACGAAAAAAATGATCACCAACAGAACTCTGTAGGATGATTTTTCTAAGTAGAATTTTTCTTTGAAAAAAAAAGTGTAAAACCGGAAAAATTGAATATCTCGGAAACTTCTTGATTTTTGTATCTAAAAAAAATTGTGGTTATTTAAGACACAGAAACGTATACTCTCACCAAGTTTCGTCAAAATTAAATTATTTTTGCGGAAATGAGAAATAAATAAGAAAAAAAAACGTTTTTCGCATTTTTCTCGAAATCTTAAAAAGTGAGTTCTATAAAAATTGTAGATTTTTGCATGATCTACAACTCTTGTCTTGGATACTTTTTTGTTTGAGGTCAACTTTCGCTAGAAATCCCAATGATACAATTTTTCACAACTTTTCAACCCCCCAAATCAACCCTCCGCCATCCCTGCTCAAGTGAAAGTTTTTGTTTATTATAAGCCCCTGTACCATTTCCACTTATAAAAGTCTAGGTAACAATTTTCTTTTTTTTTCCCTCTAAATGAGTTATTTCGATCAGTGAACTTTTTTTAGAGCCTAATTAATTAGGCGTAAGAATGAAAAAAAAAATAAAGGGGGTACAGGAACATACTACAAATTTTGAAGAAGACGATTATGATGAAGGCAAATATGACGAAAACGGTTACAATAATGACAAAGACGGTTGCATGAAGGCGAATAAGACGGTTATGACACAGGTACAGACAGATTCAGAAAGAATGGACAAACAAAAAAAATATAATAAGTCAAAATCGATTTTAAAAATTACCTGTAGTCTTCTTAACAATTTCAAATCCGTCCTTGTTTCGATTATTCACAGGAATGTGGACCTCTTTCTCGACATCGTAATCCGAGTCATCACTATCACTGTCAGTTTCATTTTCTTCCTCCTCCGAACTATAGTCACTATCAACACTTTCTTTCTTCAGGGGCTCTTTAGTTTCTTTATTTTTCTTTTTTTTCACCACTTCCTTTTCGATTTCATCGCTATCTTCCCCAATAACTTTGGCACCCTTTTTCTTAAAGTTCTCTACCATTCTGTCCAAGTCTGCGTCTTCATCCTTCTCGTCTATAAGATTTTTAAAAACGTCCCTCTGAAACCATAGTTCAGCTTTGTGAGCCTTCTTCTGCTCCTTATCCCGATAATCCAAATCCGTTATGAGGGGATGTTCCTTTTGTTCAGACGGCTTTGACAGTTTTTCTTTCTTCTTTTTTATGGGTTCGTCTTCGCTGTCTTCATCGCTTAAACCTGTAAGACGTAATAATTAATGCTAAAAACCTCTAATTTAAAATTATTTGTGTATTTGCTATTTATTGGATTTATATACATACCCAGCCCTTCTGTAATTTCTTCTTCGCCCTCGTCACTTTCCAGTTCCAATTCAGAGTCGGAATCCTTGTAATACGTTCCCGAACTATCTAAATGACCCTCCCCTTTCTCGTACTTTGTGAATTTTGGAACTCGTTTCTCTTCGTCAAACTCATCGTCTGATTCTGCGACGGTATCCGGCGTTTGATCAATTACTCTCTTCATCTGCGTGGTACTTTTCACTTGTTTTAAGGAAAACATTTCGTCGCCTTCCATTGTCGGGCCGTCGTCGTTCTTTAAAACCATTTTGAGGTTAAGACGTTCGTTTAATTTCTTACGCTCCTTTTGCACTTTCTTCTTTTTCCGTTTTTGCTCTCTGTGCTCTTCTTCTTGCAGTTGGGAGATTTGTTTTTCTACCCCTTTCAAATCGGTGTCTTCGTCGCTTTCGGCCTCTGATTTTACGTCCTCGACGACTATATCTTCGAGTTTATCCTCCGGTTTGGGTTGTTCTTTTAAGTATTCCTCATGCAATATTTTCCACCAGCTTAAAAGATTTCGGAGGTCCTTTCTGCCTAAAACTTTTATGTCCTTGGCACACTCTTTAATTTCACTGGTGGTTTTCTCGTGTTTTAAAATATCGGGATCATCGAAGACAATCTAAACAGAAATTTTAAGTCAGATTACTATTATTACTATTTAAAATCACTTACTTCAGAAGCATTTTGTAAAATATCGATACCACTCTCATGCTTAATAAAATCCGATGCTTTTAACTTATGGTAAAGCGTGTAATCATTTTCGGGATAACCCTCAGCTTTATCCTTCTTCTTTTTCTCGGGATGGAAAACATTTAGTTTGTTCTTAGGTTCAATTTCTAATTCCTGGAAAACATACTTCGGATCCATAAATTTTGGATCTATTTTATCCGGGGCTATGTAATACTGACAAACTACAAAAATTTCAGCAGACTCACTACGAGAAGCTTGAGGTTTAGTTGCGTGAACCTTCTTGAAAAGCTGTTTTAAAACCCATACAAGGGAATGATAGTCTTTCGATCTGAATACTTTAGTTATGAACCATCCACCTTGTTTTAAAAACTGTGTTGCTAGTTTCAATGAACTTAGGGTTAAACAAGCCTGTTGATAAGCATCGTGTAACCAATTTTTTCCTACATTTGGTGCTCCATCGTGAAGGACTATATCAGCTTTCCAAGTTTTTAATTCTCTACTAAGTGCCACTCTACATTTTTCCGTGGTGATATCTTCAGTTAAGCTAATGCATCCAGGTATCGGTTTTATCGGAAATAAATCTATACCAATTACTATACTAGAAACAGGCATATTTTGTTTTGCGACTTGCATCCATCCTCCAGGTGCAGCACATAGATCAACGCATACTCGAGACTTTTGTAAAAATTCAAACTTACGATTTAACTGTATTAACTTGAAAGCAGCACGTGATCTAAAGCCTGAAATACATTTTAATATTAAGTGAACAATATTAGTTCGTTTTAAGAAAAGTACCTGTTTCCTTCGCTAACTGGTAATATTTATCCTTCCTCTGCTTTCCAATTTTTTTCTTCTGGCCCATTTTGAGTTAAATATTTGCAAATTTTTATGGTTAGTGACAGAAACTTATTTCTTATAATTATGTATTACCAAGGACAATTAAATGTCCTTGTGTATTATAAATTAAACACCGCTGTAACACGCGTGGCGGTGGAACTAAATTTGAGGTTAATTTTAATTTATTGTTGGTTTTTGGTTTGGTCAAAAGTTTGGTTGACGACACAAAATACATATATAATAGACGACGTTGACGTTGTTTGAAAATTAGGTTAGTTGCCATGCATTTTTTCTTCTCCTTCTTCTTCTTTGCTGGTACTACTAACATTTGTATATGACATCTTAAATTTCAAATGTACTAGTCATAATACTAGTCATAAATTATGAATATATTCATTATTTGATGGTTTATATATTTTATAGCATATACTTATTATCTATATACTGGTAGCCGCCTATAGGTCCCTGTGTACGGAATTGTCCGGAAAGAAGGAGATAGTTTTCTGTCTCTCCCGAGGAATTAGAACCCAATGCGCATGCCCTGCACACAAAATCATGAACGAGTGGAGAGAGCAAGACGGCTGTGGTCCTTACTACGGATTGTCCACTGCTTAGATTGTGACATTTTGCTTATTGTATCTACTGAATTGTCACATTCTCGCATCGGCATCTGCTTCTAACGCATGCGCACCATTCCCTGTTTACTTGTCGAGGACAGAGCGATGAGGCTTTCCTTCCGGTCAAGTTCCAAACAAAACTCATAGTATATAGATAGTATGTATATGCTTTATAGATATTGATTAATTATCACAATCAACTATTGGGTACCCCCCCCTGCCCGCTAACCTTTTCTGTTTCAGAGACAGCCAGGATCAAGAAACGAAGACAACGACACACACACACACACATACACACCCCCCATACCCTCCTTACCCCTCCCCTCCCGCGCTAGCCTAAGGGCCACCTTAGCAAAGCGCATCCCAGGCTGCATAGCCGCACTACCCTACCCAACCATACCACACATAAACATGACACTACCCCCGGGGTTTACACAGACGAGCCGGCGAAGCAAGAAGAGCGCCAGAAGAAAGGGCCCTAGCCGGCGGGGCCCAGCCAGGACAAAAGGAGGTCCCACAAAGCGCCTACACCGGCCGCATTTGCGGTCGGGGTAGACGACGGATGGGGCCCACCTACGAAGGCTGTCCAGGCCTACACGAGATGAGGCAGGATAAAGAGGGATAATCCCCCTCGATCCCAAATCATTGAGG